TGTTTCGCCCAATTCCGCGTCCCGAGGGAGGTCGTAGGTCGACGTAAATTTTTCTGTGGAGTGATGATCATCAGAAGGACTTCAAAGTCGGGCGGACTCGGGACCGAAACGGTTTCTCTGAAGAGTGGGGTCAGACGTTCGATTCTGACGGGTCGTACCGGTACCCACAACGGTCAGATCCAGGTAACCAAATTTTGAGAACGAACGGGGAAAGAATGTATTCAGCCACCTGTTAATAAGGATTACTTACGCGTGGTCCGCGAAGTCCGCGACTCCGCCAAGACTGGACCCGCGGTATTTAGCGCTCAGGGTTACGGTGCCCTGAGTTTGCGACGATGTGGATAGAATTCAGTGTTGAGTCGATGGGTAGAACTCCCATCAAAGATCTAGCCCCATTTGGACCCTATTCGGCTCCCGACTGGGGCGGCGCGCGCCACCGCGCGGTATGTCGTGGATGGGAAAGAACAAGATAGAACACATTCCTGTATCTTTGCCTTGTTCAAGCTGCTAATACATAGATCCTGGAAAAAATGAGAAAAACATGTCACTGTGGAGATTCTGGAATTTTCCTTTTCAAGGTGAAATGTCATGCATGTCATGGCGGAAGTTGGATTTGTTGGCCACACGTTGGTCGAAAACGTAAATCTAGCAGCGGTGAATTCGAGCCCAGTAAACCAAGAGAACTGTTTACAGTAGTTTTGATGTCCAAAACATAAATTTTCAATTTCTCATCTCCTGTTTCTTTAAATTTGGCCTCCGTCGATGGACCTTCAAAAAACCGTACGAACACGAGAAAAAAAAGACGAAAGGGGCGCTTGTATGCCGCAAAATAGAGTTTAAATATTTGTTCATGACATTTGCTTGTTGTCCTTTTATTTTATTTTATTTTGTCTGTATACTCGAACAGAGTCGTCAGTGCGTCAGCCCCAGAGAGCATACAGCAGTTTCTCAGCCAGAATTTGACCTTGGAAATTTCGAGAGAGACGCCTCCAGGTGTCGGCAACACTGTCGGCATCCCGCCACTTAACCTTTCCGACTGATCGGAGTTCTACCATCTCACTACGAACTCGATAGAATTTGATGTACCTAACGCTAGAGCGAGTTGGCGAAGTTGGCGATGCCACTCGATGACAATTGCTGCCGGATTGAGAAGGATCGAAATTTGAGAGAGCAAATTCAGAGAATCAGAGAGCAAAGAAACTTGGAGGACGGCGGAGGATCCGGAAAGACACTGTCCGATCCAATCGCATCACCGACGGATTGATTGGGCCGAAACGCCGGTCTCTTCTCTCTCACTGGTATTATTGTAGTCCTGCAGAGCCAATGCAAAGCAAGCGGCTAGGTTTGGATGGCGCTACATCAAGGCTCAAAACTTTGACTGGTTGTCTTCTCGGCGACGGCGTTGGCGTGCTTCCCAAGCGCTTCCTCAGTACAATAGCCTCATCTCGCTCATGACTTGAATGGCGATTATTGGGGCGCCGGACTTGAATTCTGTTTCATAGCTACGTAGCGCTCCAATCGCGTCGAATGCCGCTGAGCTCAATCTTACCTCGAAGTCCGCCGAGTCTTGAGTTTTGTCGACGAGGCGGCGCCGACACTGCTACTATGTACACTTCAGGCACCTCGACCGCTTGAAGCGCCACAACGCTCTCCTACTTCATTTGTAGGTAGGTAGGTAGGTAGCATTACACGGCCGGTCCCCCTTAATTTGAAATGATGGATCAACTCGTCTAAACTGTTCTCGATCGTCACATTCTCGCCATACTGAAAACTGGCCGCCGGGGAAAGCATCCACCGGACGTCAACCCCCTGAACGAGAACCGCTCTCAACGCCTGGAACTGGGTTCGAGTCGTTTTCCCGGCGGCGCTCGGACTCAGCCCGCCGTACTGATCAAATACCGCTGCTTCATATTCACTCGTGCGTCCCCCGAATAGGATTCTTCACGATTCGTGAATCGAGCCTAGACGCGCGTTGGCCGTTTCATTGCCCTGTCTTCGAACCTCCTCTTCTTCCTATTGCACTTTTTCCTGTGTCACTCAGCTTTGCCGTTTTTTTTCTGGCTCCGATGGTCGGCTCTTCCTTTCATTCCTGTACTGTGTACAGCAACCGTGATGTTGCGACCCATCTCGCTCTGCGCATGGGTGCGTCACCATGGGCGACTGTGTTACCACTACTGCATTCAGACAGGCACTATTCATATCCCAGCTCTCCACGCCACCCTTCTTCCGTTCTCGAATATTGGAAGCGAGAGGTCGGACTACCGTCACGGGATTAATTCCAGGGCCGGATCCGGCTGATCCCGCACTGCGTACTCTTCGAGATCCGTGACTCTCAGCTACGATAGATCCACGCTGAGCGCCGACCGAGAAAACTGCGAGTCTAGTGAACGTAGAGAGCCACGAACATGGAGCGAGCAGGGCGGCGAATGCATCGATCCCATCGACGCGAGCAAAGTGGTAAGAGCGGGAGACGGTCGAGTAGTCCAACTATCTGAACTTGTGACCAACGCGGATTATCAACGACAGGAAACTTACAATTGGGGCGAGTTTTCCTCTTCATCCCCTCCTACAACCCCGATTATACTCCTTCCCATGCACGCTGAATGCGTGTTTCAGCTGGGGTCTTTTGTTGCATTTGTCTGCGATCGGTCGTGGTTAAAGTCCCTGATGTTGTTTGAGAACGCCTGGTGGTGTATTGCAACACATCGTCTGACTATGTGCAGAGTGTGTCCCTTCTGGATGAAGCTCCCCGTTCGAACCGGGGTCAGGCCATTCGGCATTCGGGTTGTGTTCTGTTTCTTGTATCGTCCATGACTGAGTAGTTTTTTTTTTCTGAGGGCATTGTACTCACTTTTTTTGTTTGAGGAGACTAGTTTTATTGATCTAGGAGCCAGTGCTTGACCATAATTTCTTTCCATGCTCACAACAAGGGCATGGTGTATGTAGCTTTTAAAAAAAATTGTGTTGTGGTGCTTGTTGAAGCACTGACAGTTTGCAGGAGCTGGTGGTTATTGTCATTCTGTGCCTGAAGCAAGGCTCTGGTTTAGGCTGTCGAAGACGTGGTTTGGGAACGCCTGGTGGTGTATTGCAACACATCATCTGACTATATGAAATGTGTATTTCAATGTGATGAAACTCCCCGTTCGAAGCGGGGCCAGGCCATTCACCATTCAGGGTGCGTTCTATTTTCTTGCATCATCCGCGACTTCGACTTTTGGGAGTGCATGCGTACTCATTTTTTTTTGTTTAGGTAGGAGACCAGTGTTGATCTATCGACCAAGGACCCAGCACTTGACCCTGATTTCTTGTTAGAATGCCAACCCTTTCTTCAACACCACAAGGGGAAATGTAGCAGAAGACCCCGCAAACATGCAGGGAATTCGTTCTTGCACTGCGCACTATAGATTTAATACAAGAGTACGAGGCGGCGGCATTGAAGAGGGATTTAAAATCAGATGATCCCGAAAATGAAGTCGCCCGAGTCGGGAACCGGAATGGCGGCAGGAATGCAGACATAATTCTGGGGAAAGAGGAATTTCCGGAGTTGGTGAAGTTTCGAGTGGGAATTTAGCGAGAAGACTTGGGGTGCAGTCAGCCTTGGCGTGTGTTGGTGGTTGGGGCCGTATAATCCAACACTTTTTCATGCTCACAGCAAGGATCGGGTGTCTCTAAACCAGTTTGTCGGAGAGGTTGGGAAGGCTTGGTAGTGGGTGTACTGCAACACATCCTCCAATGTTGGCACAGTCTGAATCAGTTTTCGAGGAAGTCCCCCGTTCGACCCGGGGCCAGGCCATGTCCTCGGAAGAGTCTTTGTTTCTATTTTTATTTCTGAGTATATGTGAACTCATTTTTTTTCTAGGAGACAGAGACTAGTGTTCATTTTGTGAATGAAGGAATGACGGAATGGTTGACCATCCATGAACGGCGGCAGCGGTGAACACCGACGGCATTCGACTCGGGCATCACAGAACGCTTTGGGAGGTGCCGGGTTTGCCGAGTGGACATTTGGATGTGGAAACCGGCACTTGACAAGAGACGAAGGCCTCTAATCTGCCGGGGCACACTGTCCAGCAAGTAAGAAATGTGTTTATCAACGCGGGAAAAAAACACAACCCGTTCGACGGGATATATCACCAAGAACCTATTTGCACCCGAGTAAAGTATCAATTGTGTTGTGTTGCGTGTTGAAGCACCGGCATGCAACATAATTTAGGCTGTTGAAGACATGGTTTCAGAACGCCTGGTGGTGTATTGCAACATGTCATCTGACTATGATGTGGGTTTTGTAAGTTGTAATCTAGATGAAGCTCCCCGTTCGACCCGGGGCCAGGCCACTCTGCAAAGATGGTGTTATTTTTCTTGCATCGCCCACGAGTGTGTTTGAGTATGTACTCATTGTTTTCTTTAGGTAGGAGACTTCGAGGTTCAGATCAGCCGGCGGCACCACTGCACCGGATCAGGGAGCAGATTGCTCTATGTTGCCATAGATCAGATCCGGAAATGAAATCGTCCGGGACGGGATTATATTTGTGAGAGCTGGAATGGCAGCAGGAATGATGGCAGGAATGCAGTAAAGAGGAATCTCCGGCGTTGGTGGAGGCTTGGGGTCCGGTTGAATTGAAAGTGCATTGGTGGTATGGAGTCAAGGGGGCAGCAGTTGTATAATCCAACTTGTGTCCAGGTAAACCAGTGTGTAGGAGAGGTCAGACAGGCCTGGTGGTGTACTGCAACATATCCTCTGTCTATTGTTTGTTTAGCAGTTCTCATGAGGAAGCACCCCGTTCGAACCGGGGCCAGGCCACTTCGTTTGTCTTGTTTCTGAATCCCCCCCCCTCTCTTCAATCATCATTCGGAAATATACAACTTGCCCAATGGTTTAAGTTGAAGAATCAAGATCGATATTCACATTTCAAGTTATATTGAGTGCAGTGCACAGCAGGCATTCATGGACTCCGAGCATAATTCAACCTACCTATAGTAGAGTTGTCGGTCTCCAGCAAGGCCTGGTGGTGTAGTGCAACACATCCTCCGTTTGTGATCAGTTCTTCTTTGTTATCCTGAGGAAGTCCCCCGTTTGACCCGGGGCCAGGCCATTCCTTTGTGAGTTTAGTTTTTTACCACCAAATTGGTAAGTAGTGCAGCTGTCTATAGCAGAGTTGTCAGTTTGTAGCAGTCTGGGCCTGGCGGTGTATTGAAACACATCCTCTAGAGTTAAGACATTAAAAACAGTCGCTGAATCCGAGGAAGTCCTCCGTTCGAACCGGGGTCAGGCCACTCCCTTTGTATTGTGTCGGAATTTTTTCCCCCCTCTCTCTTCAACCATCATCCGGAAGTTTCCAACTCGCCCAATGGTTTAGGCCAAAGATTGATTTGTGATTTGATATCACATTAAGTGCATGCTGGGTTCGTGGATTTCAAGCATACTTCAACCTACCTATAGCAGAGTTGTCAATTCCCAGCATGGCCTGGTGGTGTACGGCAACACATCCTCTGCTCATTTGTCTGTTTAGCATTCTTGTGAGGAAGTCCACCATTTGAACCAGGTTCAGGCCACTTCATTTGTAAATATTGTGTCGGAATTTTTTTCCCCATCTCTTCAACCATCATCCGGGAATGTACAACTCGCCCAATGAAGATTGATTTGTGATTTGATATTACATCGAGTGGTTCGTAGATTTCAAGCATAATTCAACCACAGTAAGTACCTATGGAAAAATTGTCAATTCCCAGCAAGGCCCGGTGGTGTACTGCAACACGTCCTCTTGAAATTTCAGGTTTCGTAACTGTTTCCGAGAAAGTCCCCCGTTCGACCCGGGGCCAGGCCATGTTTGGAGAGTTTAGATTTTAATTTTAATTTTTGAGTATATGTGAACTCACTTTTCTTGGGAGACTCATGTTCATTTTGTGAATCAAGGGACCATGGTGGGGATCTCTCTTGGCAACAACCACCACGTGCGCTTCTGATCGCTGCCACAAAAACTTTTGGGGCTTGGGCATCGACATGCGTAGTGGTACTAGCTTACCTTCTATACTCTCTACAATACATGTCTGTTATATCCTGAGCCAAAAGGGGAAAGAGAGACCTCCGGGATCTCCGGATGTGGACGCAAGTCCGGAGCATCCGGAAGAAGACCGGAGGTTCTCCTGTCGGCTGTTCTCGCAACACCACAGCTCGGAAGGGTGAGCGAACTGTCTGACTATCGAGCCGAGACTAGACGGAGGAGAAATGGGAATAGAAGACTCCGGAGGCAACCACGTGACCCCGGACGGAGCCGGACAGGTACCGGAAGGGGTGCAGAGTGATTCGGCAGATGCCGGAAGCAACCGGAGGAAAGCTGGTAGAAGCAGACAGGCTCTGTTGGAGCCCAACACAATGTAACAGACTTTGTGGAAGCGGTACACGTCCCAGACGGGACCCGAGTGACCGGAAGCGGTCCGGAAGGAGAACATGGGAACCGGGGCTGATCTGTGACAGTGCGGGAGACTCGGAGGATGCCCGGAGAGGCACCTGATGAAGTAGAAGGAAGTGGGCCGGAAACCGGAAAGGGCCTAAGCCAGGAACCGGATGACTGGAGCGAAGAATAACAAAGACAAACAAGATCCGGAGGTGTCGAGAAGACACCGGGATGAGGATGGAAGTAAAGGAAGACTCAGTCCATGAAGGAAGCCATGGAATAACGTTAATTTTCCAGATAGAGTACAGAATGTAATCTACTGGGATTATATAGACAAGTCCTTTATTGTAATACCAGAAGTGGACGAGTCAGAAGACTTTGGAACGTAACAATAAGTAGTGTCCCAAAAAGGAAGTGCATGGGAAAGATTGGTAAGGGACAATAAGGAAGAAGACAGATAAAAGGGAAACACGTAGTAATATAATATGACGCAAACCCGCTTGGCAGCGGACACAGGGACAACCGTGGGAAACGTCCGGAGGGCCGGAGGCCCGATCGGTTCGGAGCGGAACCGGAGGCGCAGCCACGGAAACGGGCTGAGAGGGTTGGAGATGGTGAAGTGTTCGAATGGACGGCCAACTGATCCACTGCGGGAAAGGGCCGGAGGTCCGGCGGCCGGAGCTGGACCGGAGGCGTGGGAACAAGTACTCGCAAGGCCTGCAAGCATGGGAATGTGTCTGGAAGAAACCAGGAGGAATGCGGAGGTGGAAAGGACTGTAAGGACAATGCGGAAATAACCGATTGGTCAGGGAAGGCTGAATAAAGGATGAGCTTCGTAATCAATCTAAGTGGGGATTGACCGGAGGGCTCCGAGAGGCAGGAGGCCGGAGGGAGTCCGGAAGCGTGGGAACATTCCCGGAGAATGGACAAGCCAGGCCGGAGGGACTCGAAGGATCGGAAGGCATGATAATCGAGCTTTAGGAGTCCACGAGGAACGGAGGCCGGAGTGGCTGTGCCGGAGATGCCGGAAATGGAAGGGAATGGAATGGCGGATATGCCTGAAGATGCGGAAGGTGGAAATGAGCAGAATGGCTATGCGGGAAATGACAAATGGTCCCGGAAGCCCGGAGGGTCGTAAGGAAGGAGTGGCTATGATGGGCTTAGTAATCATGTGAAATGAGATGTCACCGGAAGTGATGGTGACCTCCGGAAAGCTCCGGACAAACCGGAGCTGCGAAGAAAGTGTCGGATTGTGCATGGATATAACAATGTCAAACATAAAACGAGCCTCGGGTAACGCCCAAGGAAAAACCCCGTCCAATGGCACTCAGCCAACGGCGGGAATGTCGCTGATGGCACGCACGACACGCGCGACGCCGGACGCACCAGGCGCGATGCACGCGCAGAAAAACAGAGAAGAATTGTACGGTGAGAGTGACATTCAGTGGACGAAGTTCTCGGCGGAGGAGGCCCAGAAGCATTTAGTAGCGAAGGGGTTTCTGCAGCAGGGAAATAACCCGGGTATGACAATGGCGAGCATCGCCATGATACTGTTGCGGATCGCGGCGGCTACCACCTCTGTGGTCTCGGCGGACGCATGCAGGGCGGTAGCGGTACTGCTGGAGCACCGACGCATGGATGTAGCGGTGGACGCCATTGCCGACGATGTCAAAAAAGTGTTGATGACTCTGGAAGCAATCCCTCGCCGGGGTGTTTCAGACACAGAGGACTCTCAAACGGCGGACGACCTGCTCACGGCAGCTGAAGTCCTCACAAATGCAGTGCAGGAACAGTGCGCGGATATGAAAACACTGACGGAGCGCCTGGAGGAGGATTTTACAGATATCTTGGGTCGCGCCAAGGCTGCGCCGACGGGAAACGCGGGCCAACCCACACCAGGGCGGACCTATGCAGCAGCAGTGATGGCGGTGCCTCCCCCGGAGCATGCAGCAGCGGTAGCAAGTTCGACCACCCGGACGCGGCAAATTCTCATCGAGCGGGCACCAAACATGCAAGACTGGATGGCGGGCCTCAGCCCCAAGGACATCGTCGAGAAGGCACGTATGGTGGTAGTGCTAATGAGCCAGGAGGCCAGGGGACCTGCACCTGCAGGCACCACTTTCGTTGGCGCTACGCCACAACGCAGTGGCGCGGTGCTGCTGCACCTTAACACGAAGCAGGCGGCTGACTGGATCAAGGACAACATGTCCGGGTTTCTTGCAGCACTAGGAGGTACGTCGGTTTACAAAGAGCGTCTTCTTAATGTGGTGGTCAAATATGTGCCCGTGTCATTCGATCCCAGCCGGGACGGGGCCCTCCACGAAGTGGAGGGCGACAACGGTCTTCCGAGTGGCACACTCGTGAAGGCCCGCTGGATCAAACCAGTGGAACAACGAAGAGAGGGACAGAAAGTGGCACACGCTGTTTTCGGTTTCAAAGACCCCGCCGCAGCGAATGCGTTCCTGCAAGCGGGTCTGTGGGTCGAAGGGAAACGTGTGCACGGGAGGAAACTCCTGACAGAGCCCATCCGGTGCATGAAGTGCCAAGGGATCGGGCTCAATCACGTAGCGGCAACATGCGACTCGATTCATGATGTCTGCGCGCGATGTGGGGAGATTGTAGGGGCCATATAGCATATTTTTCTCTTTTCTGATTACTCTTCAACTAACCTCTATGTACTTGTATTTTTCCCATTTCTCTCGACGCGTAGGGTCACATGCACATTATGTAATCATGTAGATATGTCTTTGTACGTCGAGATCAATACTATCATCCTCCATACATTAACCATCCAACGACCTAATGTTCATTGTCCTGCCCTCTTAACGGCAGCGGTGCACTGGGCCTGCGGGTGTTCTTAAGTGTATCGGTTCTTAGTCTTCTCAAGCGTATTTCAGCAAGCGAGAGTCTCAAGCGTCTGCCAGCAGTAATTATCTTATCTGCTGCCATCCGCTATACATCTGCACTTGATCCATTTCATAGAGCTTCAGAGCTCTATCTAGCATTCTCCTAGCCTCCGAGCTAGTCGTGGATCGAAGCCATAGTAGATAATCTCATTGGCTTGCTGCGAGACTAGATCAGCACTTGGACACAGATTTCTGGTCCAAGGAGTCTCCAGCTTTATCAATATCGACTCTCTCGGGGACTTGGAGGCTTATCCAAGTCCCCACAACACCATTATAACTCCCAAGTACTCGCCAGGGTCGTACGACGTGCATCCCAGAATAAATATTTGTAACCCACACTCGAGGGTCGTTACAAAGGTGGACACATTGGGAATCGTCGTTCCCTCCTGGCCGGTCACTCCTCATTCCTCATTTACCATGTCAGATTCACTAATGCATTCAATATGGTCAAAATACACCATCTCGCCCGAACCGGGCATGTCTACGCTACGCGATACATGTGTAGCGCTACTAAACCATTCCCTCTCCTCCTCCGACCTCGTCCCTGCCCTCGCAGGGGTCGCATTCCATCCGTGGTTAGCCGAACCGCTGCGGGAAGTCATCCCCGCACTCAAACATCTCTTCTACGTGGCTACGCAGCATCGCGAGGCTCTATTCGACCACGATCATTCAGACTTCCGCCTAGCCACTATCCTAGGTCTTTGCGCGGAGGAAGTCGCTGGTGCCTGGGGTCGCCTGAAGCAGAAACTCGCGAGCATAATGAAATGCATCGAGCATATCTGCGAGAGTCAT